AAAAAAAAAAAAAACAAGCTCAGTAACAGAGATGAACTGGGGAAAATACCGAAAAAAAAAGGAAAGAAAAACAAATACAACTTTCAGATATGCATTATTTCTCCCTAAAAGATGGAGAACAAAAAAACCAGTAAATAGCATAAAAAGAGAAAAACAAAGTAAGACTGAACTAGAGGACTATAGTCTAGAAAGTATGCAATTTTTAAGCTTTTGTTATTGCCTATAACTGAGAAAAAAATTATTTGATCTTAGCAATTTACACCAATATTTCTTCAGCTTTAGCTTTCAGATCTTAATATTAGTAGTAGTGGTAGTGGTTGTAGCAGTAGCACTGATGCTAGTAATGCTAGTAGTAATATCAACAGCAACATAATTTGACTATAGGATATTGGATTAGGTCGATTAATCAATCAAAAAGTAGCCCGTACAAAAAAAAATAGTCGTGTGATGTAGAACCACTAATTACGCATATAAATGTGTACCACTTTCACCGAGCAGGAGGAGACAAACAAAGACGGAAAGAAGTGTACAGAATAAGAACAACAACGGAAAAACTGAAGAAAAAACTGGGTAAAACAGAGAAGCATAAAACAGAAAACCAGTTCTCTCACAGAAATGTACCCCATTTTTCAAGCAACTCCGCCTTTAGTTTCGGTTCCATAGAACAGTAATCTCGATCTGCAGAAAGACCTCGAAATACGTCAATTGAGATTGAGCTAAACAGTGCATTTTTCAGGTCCAACATGTTGTATTCATCGGCCAGTCGAATTGCATGCATAACTGACGACGCTGGCAACTGAAATATCAAGTTGAAGACAGACATCAGGAAACATTCAACAAGACTTTATTGTTTTTTCCAATTTGTTTTTGGAATCAGTAATATCTCCATTTTAACTAAACCATCACGTCGAATGATTATTACCTTTTCGGCTACAAAACTTTCACACTTCTCATACAGCGATTTTATACCAAACTTGTCTGCTACGAACATGACGAAATCAATTGAACTCTCTACAAAACACAAAAATTAGTGTCATGTAATTTCCTGAAGCAATAAAAAAGAAAGCTTCAATGAATATTATAGCAAATTTTTCTTTTGATAAGTAGTTGCAAAACGAACGGAAAAACTATTACCGTCTAAATTCTGCTGGCCGTTGAAAACATCCATAGCCAAACTGAATACACTTGGATCTACTGTCTCAGACAAAGGCACTTCATTCTTACCTTCGTAATATTGGAACAATGAAGCAAAGTAAGTTGAGCTTGTAGAAAGTACCTAAAGTAAAAGACGTAATAAGAACTTCTGGCTATAAAGCTTTTATAATAATAAAAAAAATAATTGGGCCATAGAAGCTATCAATTATTCACCGTTTTAGAAACAGCAACCCGCGAGTCACCAATGATAAGATGACAATCAGCAACCCAATTTGTGTCACTTAAACGTAACGGAGGAAGTTCCAGAGTTTCCAATTTTAAAAGCCTGGAAAATTCTTTTAAGTATTCAAAACATAGTCATGAAAATGCTACTTCATTTTCGTAATAAAAAATGACACTGAAGCATTACTTTGGTGACTTTTCTTCATTTACTTTACTACGCTTTGTTTTCAATGGACAACTTTCACGTTTGTGCCGTTCCAAGTTCCACTCCGAAGAATAATAACGTCCGCAGGCCTGCAAAGAATACTGTGAACGACTCCTCGACAATTGATCTAGTTCGACAGTTCTATTCAACTAGGCAGCTTTAAAACGGCAAGTGTTCGACTAACTGCTGTAGCATTAACACTTCTTACCAAGCAAAGATGCTTGTTACTCTTTCCACTGGAAGAACTAGAGTCACCAGGTGACGAATACCGGTTTCTTTTTCGCGATGTGGCAGGAGAATATGACGCCGATGAACTAGACCCGATATCAGAATTTGGAGAATGAATCAGAAAAGCGCTAGGTGGTGTTACTGGTTGATCGTAACTGAAGATAAACCAGAATAAATTCTGCATTAGTCATATTTACTAAATTATTGATCAGACAGTACTCCTCTTCAGGAAATACCTGTGAACAACCGTTGTACTATCGGCATCGACCACGATAGGATGTCTCTGTTCGCAGTGACGATCAAATTCACGTCTTCCAGACAGCCAACAGTCACATATTTGACACATAACACCAGTATCCACTTCTTCATCAAAGTTGGTGAATGGTTGTGGCATGACAACTTCGGAATTCTGAAATAAGCAAAATCTCACTTGAAAAAAAAAAGATTCTATGAAAGTCTGACAACTGACAGTCTGTAGGAA